CCCCACCCCCCCCCGGCGCACTCTCAGAGTCACATGGTGCAGTGATGTCCTCTCTCCCCTCACCCATCCCAGCTCACTTGCCCAGTTCAATTGGAGTGGACTCCAGGTTACACTAAGAACTTCCAGGAGGATGAGGGACTGTGGTCACTGGGTCAGTGCCCAGAAGTCACCCGTGGGAAAGCTCCAATTCCAGAGCAGGTGCCTGGCTCTTCCATTCATGAGCCATTAGCCTGAGACCAGTTGGCGACCCTGCCCATGTCCACCTCCCCAGCACCTATCATGCAGCATGCCTATCACCATGCAGAAGACAAAGGGCCTAATAGTGTCTGCCGGCACACCCTGAGTGAAACCTCGCCCCTTCTCCCTCCCTGGCCAAGAGGCGAACCCTGGGGACTCTCCAGCCCACAGTGAGAGGTTTCTCCCCTTTCATGAAAAGCAGAACCTTGCTTCACCCTTTCCTAGCTGGAAGCCGGCGCTCACTGATGGAGTAACATTCCCAGGGTTCATGCATTCACTGAAAGTCTGAACAATTTGATGGGTTTCTCCTGTGGGATGACAGGAACGGACTCTCCAAGAAGTGAGGGACTGTGCTGCCTCCCAGAGTCACCTCCTCAGTCTCTGAACTCATAGCTCAGCTGGTGACCAATCTTGACTCTCAGTCAATGGAGACCATCTGCAGCCTCTGGTTGTCACCCCCACCTGCAGGATGTGAACAGCTGTGGGTTCCCTTCTTGGTGACCTGGCCAACCCTCAGCATCCTCTGCTGCCAATGGGCAGGGCTGGTCCTACTGTGATGGCCACATCCCCTGCCTGCTCTGAAGGTCCTCTGAGACAGGAGACGCTGGCCTGGAAGCCTGGCCAAACTCAGAGCCACCCCAGCAGGAGGGCAAAAGCCGTGACGAGCAACCTGTCGCAAGGCCTGAACCAGAGGCACAGGAGCGCACCCACGGACATGAGTGAGATCAAGTTCAGGACAGATAACTCATATCAGGAGACTCTGGCACGCCTGGCACGGTGCTAAGCACTCACAAAGGACATGGGCCCACAGGGCCACCAAGGACGCCTGGGAGAGGCTGGGCCTCCCTGACCTGCCAGACTGGCCTCAGTGCAGACATCCTGCCCCAAACTGTGCCTTCAAGTGACTATTGCCACCTCCCCTTGGCTACTGGCTCGCTTGCTGCTGATCCTCCCCTCTGTGTCTGGAGTCCAGGCAGGAGCCAGACAAGGCCTCACCTGTGCCCTCCTGAGTGGCCAGGGCAGTGACCCTCCTTCCTGTCTCCATTTCTGCAGAATGAAACACACTTGCAGTGTGGCTTGGTTTGTATAACACTTTCACCCCATGACCTCAGCTGGCCCCAGAGGCCCTGGGGAGCAGAGGAGCTGGGACGGAGGGCAAGTCACAGCACCACGGGGAACAGGGGGCAGGGACAGCAGTGGGGACCTGAGGGCAGCTCAGCTAGTGCCTGGCTTGGGTGCCTTCCTCTGCCCACACTGGCACAGCCACTGGCTTCACAAAATCAGCCATAAATCCTGGGGTTTGGGCCGCTCACAGGGCAAGACAGAAAGAAAGGAGTGACCACAGCTTTTGTTCTGTGAACTTGGACCCTAAGCCCACCCCGCCTCTCCCTTCACTCCACAGAGACATTGCTGCGGCTCAGCCACCCTGGCCCTCCAGTGCACAGCCATGCCAGGTGCTGGCCGGCCAGGTGCCCAGACAGCTGTTCAGCATGACAGGCCTGCATGGGGGGGGAGGGTCACAAAAAGAGAAGATGCCTGGCTCTCATGACAGAGTGAGCCCTACTGGGCCCTTCCACTCTCCCTGTAAAACAGACACTTCTGTGCATCCTCAGAGCCTAGAGGGTGTGGGAAGGAGGGGGCTCAGGTAGCCCCTGGGTTTCTGCCTCTGCCTTACCCCTGAGGAAAAGAAAATTTGATTTAGTGCTGAGTCAGTCCTGTGATGGGCACTTTCCCTGCCTGCTCTGAAGGGGATTTCTGAGCGAGGCACACCTTCCCCCTTAGTCATCCTCTCCTCATCCCTCCCAGGATGACCAGCAGAGGCCCAACTGCTCCTACCGACAGCTGGGGAGCAGGGCAGAGGCCGGAGGCCCCCACCGACCACCGACCACGAACCACTGATGACTGACCATCAGCCCAGAGAAGCAGCTCGCACTCAGACTGGCTAGGACTTGAAGCCTCAGGCCCACACCTTGACCATGCGTCTTCAGGGGCCTGGCTGGGCCTCTGTGCCCACTGCAGAAGGCTCCCAAGGTAGACAGAGGAAGGGGGCACAGAGAGAGGGAGTAGACTGTACGGGCATTGGTCCTCCCCAAACGTCAATGGGGAGCCAGAGAAAAAACTCCAGGAAACGAAAACGCCTCACAATAGCGTTCAGTATTTTTCATGCATTAGGTTTTAGAAACAAACAAGGAGTGTTTCCAGAAACGAGATTATTATTTGACAAAGACAATCCCCTTATTCAAAATGGGGAACTGCCCCGTAACACGGAATGTGGTCTGCTACAAAGGCTCCGGCCACCGGGCCTGTGTGCAGGACGTCAGGGGTGAGCGGGGCCTGCTTTCATTCAAGGCCCCTCACCCAGGGTGTGCGCGCACCCCTGGAGCAAAGGACCTTCCTAAATTACCGCTTGGATCTTAGCAAGCAGCCCTCTCAGAGTGCCTGGTGTGAACAAAAGTGTGACAGGGCCAACCATGCAATGTCTCCCCAGGGCCCCAGTTCCCCGTGGTCTGGTGACAAAGCTCCCTGCAAAATCTGAGAGCAGAGAGAGGGAGGGAGGGGGCCTCTAATGAACTCCAGAGTGCCCTGTGCAGAGCCCCAGTGTCCCTCAAGCAAAAGCAGGGGATTACCTCAGCCAGCGCAGAAAGAGCTGACCACGTCCACCGTGCAGATCTGGACAGGCTGCCCCAGGCTCCCTGTACACAGACGTGATGCCTCTCCTCCAGTCCCCAGGTCTGTTTATGCTGGGGGCAGGGATGGCTGGGAGCCACCAGACCTCATCCCACTCAGACTACCACCCTCTGCCCCTCTGCTGGGACCAATAGCTCCTTTCCCTCTTGAGGCCAGGACGTCAGAGAAATCTCTGGTGTTACTCAAACCTGCCCACTGCCTGCCTCTCTTGCACCAGTGCCCATGCTGTGGGCC